CCAAGTCGTGATGGCACCTAACCCAACCCGCTAGGTAAGCCAAATAGTATAAGTTACTATTAAACTAAGAAAAACAACAATATATATAAAATAAAAACTACAATAGAATTCAATAAAACTATCCCAAGGACTGGTAATACAAGTCATAAGCCACTATGACTTAGATTTACAAAGTTGGTGAAAGGAATAAATACAATATCTGTTTGAAAGTTACATAAACAGAAATAAAATACAAAGCTACCATGAACTAAAATGTAGCATGAATCCGGCACGCTGGTACGTCTCTAATGCAAAGCTCTGTCTTCACAAGTACTCAACTCCAGAATCTGCACATAAGGTGCAGACATGTACTCACTAAGTATCTTGACTAGCCTCAGAGAAGAAGTGAAGAGGTTTTTAAGTAAAACAATACTCACTTGCAGAATCTGTGTAGCTCAATAACATGTATAACACAGAGAAACTATTCCAGATGGAAAGTTACAGAATAAAGAATATCAACAGTAAGGGTACCTAACATGATCCGATTCCGTATCAATTACCAAATAACACATTCAAGAGAACCTTTCGAGAATCAAATGTATCAATGCAGGATGACAACTTTCTTTTTATATCAACCCCTTACGCTACCAACAACTCAACAAACATGAGGTGTCAACTCAACTCAAGTAATCCCTTCCCGGCAACCAAATTGTCAAATAACTACAGGGGGATAGATTAACATGTTAGGTGCAACGTAAAAACATGTAAAATGCACGACAACTCATAAAACAATCACTTGCAAAATCACCCAGTTTAGACAACAATTCATCAAATAGAAACACAAACATATGGTACCTCGTGCCCACATAAAATCACTATAGCCACCCGTTCTGGTTATGGTAATTTTGCACCTGCAAGGTTTTTTCTGCAGGTGCGAGTCCGCAGAAGCGGACATTTGGTTGCAAAAGAGATGTCTTGGATGGGGAGGGGAGTCTGCAGAAGCGGATGTCTGAGCGCAGAAGCACTGGCGCAAGAGCAGGAGGAGTTCTGCAGAAGCGGCTCCGCATATGCGGAGTTGTGAACCAAAAAGCGAAGAGGCTGGAGTTTAAGTGAATTTCGCATCTGCAAGGGATTTTTTGCAGATGCGGTGTCGCAGATGTCACGCCCCAAACTCAGGGAGCGCGACCGATGCTCAACCGAGTGAACTTGGTCGAGCAAGCCTGTTAGACACTTTCTACCCAACTCACCCATGATCAAGAGAAGGCATGATTTCATTAATCAGATAGTAGGAAGATCATATACATATAATACCAAAACCTTTCTATTAGTTTCTTCATCTTTCATATCTCAAAATACACACCTTTTTATAGTCTAAAGTGGAACAAGAGATCAAAACACAACATAATCTGTTTGACTTTTCTAGCACCCATGTACAACCCACACAGTGTCTACGGAGCCTATAAGAGATAAAAAAGCGAGTTATGATAGTGCCGGCAACAAGGCCCCGGCTATACCTCAAAACGTGATAACAAAATTTACAAAAGATACATGACCCCGGAATAAGGTGGGGCTCACCAAGTCTGCTAGGAGGAAGGTGTACTGCTATCACTGATCGACACTGCCTTCTGTGGAACCACCTGCATCCATTTAAAGATGCAGCGCCCCCAGCAAAAGGGATGTTAGTACTGTCGAATAGTACTAGTATGTAAAACTAAACACCATCTCAATATAATGAATAATAATACAAGGGGAAAACAGTCATGAGTTCAATAAGGGCTTCAAACAATACTAAAACATCAAATAAGGATCACATAAGTTTTCAAGTCAATTTCCATGTTATTAGGTTGGGTGATCTTTAGTACAGATATTCCACAATTCACAATACCTCCGTATTCTTACACGGAGTCCGATCTCGACCCGATCGGCTAGGTCGTCCCATTTGAGACATCAACAATAACCACAATTTCAATTATCATTTCTCAGCGCAATCACCACCATGTGTACGGCATGGCATCCGATCACGGCCCGATCGGCTAGGCCGTCTCACCCAAGACGTTACCTTTTTTCAGTCAATCAATTCACATCATACTTCTTTCATATCTTTTCAATTCATTGGCACTAGTGATCACGATTACAAAGTCATTCTTGGTACTTGGCCGTATTTCATAGTTCCAGTTCCCTTTTTCACATTCAAATATCATTATCATTGTCAACAACAATAGGGCTTCCCATTCAAGTCATTAAATTCACATATGAGCAATTTGGGAAATCTTAGGCACATAGAGGCTTTTCATACAATTTGGCATAACAATCTTTATTTCGATATTGACATGAAGTTTTAACATTTCTAACACATATTTCACATTTTGAACACATCCTCAAATGAAAAGATGACATGATGAAGCATTTAGAATAAGTATTGAACATACATCCTTCAACACAACCACATTAGGAATAGTCAATTCAATAATGATCAAGGACTTACTCCAATTGCATGAACACCGTGGGATTCGATTCTAAGAAGAAGAGGTTTTAGCCAACATACTTCAATTGAGCCTCTTAAAACTCTAAGACGTTCCGAAATATTAGCAACTTCAATCTATTTTAGCAATATAGCAAAATTGAACCCAAATTTAGGAAAACGATCATAATTCTAGCTCACTTGAGCATTCTATCAAACAGTATGTGTATATTAAGGTTTCATGGCCCTTTTTATGATAGACTCCACCAACCCACACCCCATTCTTTTCTATCTTTAACTCACAACCTCCCCACATACATTAGGAACATATGCATGCAAGGTAAGCACTCCCATCCCCATGAATTACCTTGCTAATGGCCCATTCTAGTTACATTTTGAAATTAAGAGTTTGGGGGTGATAGAATCTTACCTCTTAGAAAGAAGACCTAGGTGTCTCTTTTGATAATCTTCAAGGTTTTAAGTGAGAATTGAAGAGAAATTTGATGAAGATCACTTTCTCCCTCTAGGACCCTCTCTCTCACTCTAAAACTATCAGAAAATCAGTTCAAAATAGTCCAAGGTAGTGTTTTAATGGAATAGGGTCGGGTGTAAAAACCCCAAAAAGGAAGCTCCAGAACAGGTTTTGCGGTTGCATATGCGATCGCATAATGGTTATGCGGTCCGCGAAATGACCACGAAAAGTGGCCTTGGGAACTGGGCTGGCCTGCTTCACTCTGCGACCGTTATGCGGCCTGCAGACCTGCTCTGCGGTCGCATAATGCATCACAGAACCTCCCGCCGCAAAAGTCCAAGGACGATTATACGGCCAAAGTGCGGCCCGCGAAACGGTTATGTGGTTGCATAATTGGCCGCAGAATCCACCTCAAAATTGGCCAAAAAGGCTGCTTCACTCTGCGGCCATTCTGCGGCCCGCAGAGTAATTATGCGGCCGCATAATGGGCCGCAGAAATGCCTATTTCTGCAAAATTATTTCCTTCAACTCCCCAGCACACCGTTCAATCCAAAAAGTACGTACCGCGGCTCGCAAGCTCGCCGTGAAGAATTTCTACTACTATTAACCTCTACGCCTATTTCGGCATCACGGAAATCCCGATTTTTAGGAAACATTTTACGGGGCTTTACATCCTTCCTCACTTAAAATCATTCATCCTCGAATGAGGATTAAGGTCCACTATTAGCAACTTATGCAGCTCGGTTATCATACCACACACCAGCAGCCCCAAAGTTGACTAACTCCCTAAATGTCCAAAAATTTCGCCAGAGTTTCCTTTGTAACTAGGCCTATCCACCTGTCAGAGAGCCCCAGAAACACATCTTACAAATATATGCACAACCCAACGACATAACAAAACTCATAACAATACCAATCGTGGCCTCATAAGCAACATATAATCAAAAGGAACACCTTTACATTAACTGAACAAGTGATACAAAATTCATAGGCGACAAGCTCATAAAAAGAAAGGATTACACAACTATTCAAACAAGTGAGGATACTTCTTCTTCATTTCTTTCTCGGCCTCCCACGTCTCTTCAACCTGCTGGTTTCTCCATAACACTTTCACAGAGGCAATTTCTTTATTCCTCAACTTTCGGACTTGTCTATCAAGAATGGCAACTGGAATTTCTTCATATGACAATTCTTCATTAACCTCAATAGTCTCAACCGGACTTTTTGGATTGAATAGTGTGCTGGGAAGTTGAAGGAAATATTTTTGCAGAAATAGGCATTTCTGCGGCCCATAATGCAGGCCGCAGAATGGCCGCAGAGTGAAGCAACCTTTTTGGCCAATTTTGAGGTGAATTCCGCGGCCAATTATGCGACTGCAGAGTGATTATGCGGCCGCATAATCGGCCGCAGAAATGCCTATTTCTGCAAAAATATTTCCTTCCACTCCCCAGCGCACTGTTCAATCCAAAAAGTCCGTACCGTGGCTCGCAAGCTCGCCGTGAAGAATTTCTACTACTATTAACCTCTACGCCTATTTTGGCATCACGGAAATCCCAGTTTTTAGGAAAATTTTACGGGGCCTTACAGCATATGTGACATTTGGACCGCAAATGCGGAATCGCTAGGTAGTGTCATTTTTATTCGAGCATTTGGTCTCATTTATCATATTTTGATATTGGAAGCTCGGATTTGGGCGATATTTAGGCAATTTTCACCACTTGGATTAGGGTAAGTGTTCTTGACTTGGATTTGATTTTATTTCATGATTGCATCTTTGATTTTGGTTGGTGAATCTAAGAGGGAAAATTAGGGGTTTTGGCAAAACTTTTCTAAAGTAAAAAAATAGAGATTTAAACTACCGATTTGGAGTCAATTTTGGATGAAACTTATATATTTGGACTCGTATTGGAATGAGTGTTCGGGATTTGTGAATTTTATTGGGTTCCAGGAAGCGGGCCCGTGTTGACGTTTTGGTTGACTTTGTGCAATTGATTAAAGATTCAATCTTTATTGTTTGGGTTCGATTATCTTTATTGTTTGGGTTCGATTCCTATGGCTTTGTTTGACGTTATTGAGTTGTATTTGACTAGTTTCAGTGCGTTTAGAGGTTTATTTGAGAGGAATGGCTATTTTGGGAGATTAGAGGCTACCGGGAGGAGGTAAGTCTCTTGGCTAACCTTGTTAGAGGGAAACCCCTGACTTATTTGCTATGTGTTTGAGGTATTGGGGGTGGTGTATGTACGTGGTGGCGAGCGTATATGCATTCACCAAGTTTATATCATGAATGGGGGTAGGAATTGGGATATCTTATGCTTTGTTTAACTATGTGCTCGTTTGATTCATGATTTATTTGGTTTATGTGACTACATTTGCCCTTTTATTTAGGCTTATGATCAATTGTGAAGGCATGAGAACTCATTCTTGATATGTTAAATTGCTTAATTGGCCATAATCACATAGAGATTTCATGATTACATATCGTATGATATTTATTAAGTCCTTGTGCACCTTTTATCTATAATTCTTGAGCATATACATATAATTAAGTAATGGATACATGATTTGGACTGAGGATTTTGGCGCGAAAGGTAAGCGTGCGACTGAGATACAATTATGGCACAATGGACTTGATAATCGGACATTGATTTATAAGGGATGCTATTATACCCCTCTTGGCCCCGTGAGCATGGTCGGTATATAGATTTTGTACCGGGTGGATACATGAATTTTATATCGGGTTACGTGATACACAAATTGTGTGTATCGGGGGTACATGGAAAATGTATAGGTTGAGCATGCATTCTTATTATTGACTCATTTGAAGTATTTATTTCATTATAAATTGTTACTTGACATCCGTATGCTAATTGGGAGTCTCGGCTCCATTATATGAGCATGTTATTTTTTACAGTTATATCTGAGAACCGATAGGGTTGTTTCTGTGCTAGAAAACCATGCTTATTTGTTGATATTTGTGACTCTTATTACTCATGATATTACTTATTGATCCAGTTCTTAATTCTGTTATTTTTCTTGTGTAGTATGTATCCGGTAGCATCTAGTCTCGCCCTACTTCTTCGACGTTAAACTTGATACTTACTGGATATCGACTGTGGTATACTCATACTACGCTTCTGCATATCTTTTTGTGTAGATCCTTCGGTTGGTTCTAACAAAGCTTCCGAATTGGGCTAGGAGTTATCGCGGAGACTTGGGGTGAGCTGCTCTATATAGATCTACTTCGCAGTTCCCGAGTCCCTATTCTTTTATGCATCTCTGTCTATTGTATTTCAGACAGTTTGACATGTATACATACGTGATCTCATGTACGTAGTTTGCTCATATACTTGTGCCACCTAGTCTTGGGGCGTATTGTATTGGCCGTGTTTAGGCCTTGCTTATGATTTTATCAGATATTATCATTATTTGAGACTATTTCCATATTTTATTGCTATTATCTCTGTTAAATAATAAAAATGGACTTTATTCATTATCTTCGAGTTGGCTTGCTTGGCAAGTTCAGCTAGGCGCGATCACGACCTTAAGATGGAATTTTGGGTCGTGACAATATATGACACATTTTAAAGGGTTAACCCCCTTTTTCAAAACTTGTCAGGTTTTTTTCCACTAATAAAAAGTTTTTCTTTTGAGTTTCTAATTATTCAGGCACATCATGGACCATAAAATTTAATTAACAAGAATTCTTATTATAGAATCAATTTGCAAATTTAAAATTAATATCAACGACAATAAATTACGAATTATTTCACTAACAATTTCTAATTTCCCCCTTAGTTCAATTTTAATTTTTTTAAACCTTATTTAACTCCCATATTAAGATTCAGATACTAATCAATTAAATTAAATTATTGACAACAATTTATAGATTATTCCTTTATACATTCGCTCTAACTTATTTCATATACCGAATACAAAATCCACTGGCTGGGTTTGCACATGAAAGGTGCATTGTTCATCTCTATATCGATTGGGTTCCATAAACTAATTATTATTTCGCAAATGTATATTATTAGTATCAAATTTACCAGGTATATTGACCCACAAAAGAATCTCGCCTTTTAATAAATCAAAACAACGAATAGTATACACAACTAACAATAATTATATAAAGATTAAGGGATTAATACTTTTAATGGACTAGAAAATTATTTTAGTAAGTAAGTATAAAATACCATTCTCTACTTGGTCCATTCAATACATACGAAATGTACTAGCACAAGAAGTCAGAATTAAACCATTCCCATAATCAAGATAAATGCCACACCACAACCTTGGGAGGTGCGACCGGCACACGACTCCCGAAGGATCGTGCGAACCGACGTCCCCGCTTTCTTCCTCTTTAGTCATAAAACCTGGGCCGACGAGGCCTCCAAGTAGTAATACTGGAAAAGAGACATTGACATTTTATACATATTCATAACCGTACCCAACAAGGTCATAATCCACCTTTTTACATGCAACTAAACTCTAGTCTGTAAGCCTCTAAGAGTACCAAAATGGAATATACATAACTTGGTCGAGATAGTTCCCCACCGTACCCAAAATGATTAGAACATATGCTTCGGTACCTATAGGATTTTGAAAAGCTACTCCGAAGAAGTGAAGAATGACAACCCACAACTGAAATATGCACCAATTAGGAAGGGGCGTCACCGGGTCTATCTGTTCATGTGGGCATGAACACAACACCCAAAAGATAATGGGTCAGTACAGAAAATGTACTGAGTATGTAAGACTAAGAAAGCATGTAAAATCAGTGACATAACATAAGAGATATGAGTACTTGCTTCCAACCTGAATACCTAAGATAAGCCACCAGGGGCATAAACTATCGAAACTATAAGCTTAAAAACATGCAAGCTCTATGAAAGGTTTAAGCCACTCATGGAGACTAGACATTAAATATAATATAATATTCTTTAGCCCTTCTTTGGGGCATGTTACTTCATATCGTTTCCGGCCTCGCGGAGGACTCAGTAACTTTTATTTCGTTCATCACATCATACCCGGCCTTAGGAGGTCCCGGTTGGACCCGCCTCAAGAGATCTTGGTCATACCCGGCCACACGAGGGCTCGGTAGTGTCTTATATCACATCATTCTGGACCCTGCCTCATAGAGATCTCGGTCGTACCCGGCCACATAAGGGCTCGGTAGTGTCTCACATTGTATCTCTTCATACCCAATTGATCAGTGGTTGCACAATAGGTGTCGTATCTAACCGTCCATAACGCAGCTCGGTAAAGTAAAATAGATACATATACATATAAGTTCAATGCATAATCAATTTCAAGAGATATTAAGTTTAGACTCAGAATAAATCATACGTTCCGGCCTCGGGGTACCAACTAGGGACATTTTAGACTTTGAAAGAAATATTACCGACAAGAATGTATAAGAACGGGTACAACGTCATCGAGAAGGACTCAGAACAACCAAATCCTTACAATACTAGAATCCTTTAGAGGAAGAGCTCTACTTACACCAATCATGCAAAGAAAGAAAATTGCCTTACATACCTTGTTGCAGAACTAGCTAGGTTACTTTGCCTCCAACGGATCTCCAAAATCAATACAATAAGACAATAGATATTACGGTGATGATTCCAAGCTCATTTACGCTAGATCCTACTAGATTCACCTTCGACTGCCTTAGAATGAATTCTAAAGGGGTGTTGAGAGCATTTTTGGAAGAACTCATGTTAGTGATAATCTCTAGGATGAGTGAGAGAGAGAGTTACACTGCCTTTATATAACACACCAATCTAGAAAAATCTGCCGCCGCTACATGCAATACGGGTCACCATACCCCGATTGCAGCACCCGGTAAGACAGATGGCATTAGTCCAATGAAAGGTGTAATCCCCCTTTTAACCCCTCTGTCCCCAAATGTGTCACCGGATAGTTGGCTGCATCAGAAACTCCACTTATCAATATTTAACTTTATGCGTGGGGAAAAGTGTGAGGTGTAACATCATCCCCCCTTCGGAACATTCTAGCTCGAATGTTGAAACGTAGTCACTCCTTACAAACTTCATCAGTTATCTTGGTGTGTGCCTGCCATGGTAGTCTCATTGTTGCTTCTCGTATTATGGAATAAATGGGGGTACCTAGATTTCATACCTTCTTCAGCTTCCCATGTCATCTCTTCTATATTGTTGTTCCTCCAAAATACTTTAACTGAAGCCACTTCTTTAGTTCGCAGCTTACGAACTTGGCGATCTAGGATAGCCACCGAAACTTCTTCTTAGGATAAATCCTCTGTTACTTGAATATATTCAATAGGGGTAATACGCAATGGATCACTTAAACACTTGGGGAGCATATGCACGTGGAACACCGGATGCACTACTTCCAATTCCAGGGGCAACTCGAGTTTATAAGACACTTCCCCGACTTTCTTAGTTATTTGGTACGACCCAATATACCGGGGACTAAGCTCTCCCTTCTTATCGAGCCTCATCACGCCTTTCATAGGTGATACCCTTAAGAAATACCCAGTCTCTCACAGCAAACTCCAAATCTCGTCATCGGGTATCTAAGTAAGATTTTTTCCCACTTTGAGCAGTCAATAAATGACCTCGAACCATCTTCACCTTCTCTACAACCTGTTGCACCAACTTAGGACCCAATAACTTTGTTTCACCAACTTCGAACCAGCTGATAGGAGATCTGCTCTACCATCCGTATAGGGCCTCATATGGTGCCATTCGAATACTAGCATGGTAGTTGTTGTTGTAAGCAAATTCGATGAGTGGTAGATGATCTTCCCAACTCCCTTTGAAGTCCAGAACACAAGCTCGTAACATGTCCTCGAGCAGCTGAATAGTGCGTTCAACCTAACCATCTATTTGGGGATGGAAAGTTGTGCTAAGGTTAATCCTCATACCCAATCCTTTTTGAAATGACCTCCAGAAGTTAGCCGTAAATTGGGCACCTTGGTCTGATATGATGGAGACTGGAACCCCCTGGAGTAGAACTATTTCCTTTATGTATAACTTAGCATAATCTTCAGCTGAGAAGATAGTCTTCACTGGTAGGAAGTGATTTGACTTGGTGAGTAGATCCACAATAACCCATATGGAATCAAACCTTCGGCGTGAATGCGGCAATCCGGTAACAAAATCCATGTTGATAATCTCCCATTTCCAGGTTGGAATTGCCATATTCTAACGCAGTCCTCCCAGTTTTTGGTGTTTAATTTTAATTTGTTGGCAACTTGGACACTGAGCAACGTATTCAACAATGCTCCTTTTCATGCCGTTCCACCAATATAGATGTCGAAGATCGTGGTACATCTTGGTTGATCCCGGATGAATCTCTGCCACGATATGCTCTCGGAGTCCTAAGACATCAGACACATATAGCCGGCATTTATATCTAAGGACCCCGTCCTCGGATAACTTGAACACTTGTTTCCTATGATAGGGAATGCTTTCTCTTATTTTCACTAAGGCTAGATCTTCAAATTGTTGTGCCTTCACTGCATCTACTAATGAGGATTCAGCAGTATTTTGAACTATGGCTCCTCTGTTACCGGTATCGATGAATCATACACTTAAGTTAGCCAACCGATACAAGCCTTTGGTCATTTCCAACTTAGGATTTTCCACGTGTTATAGATTGCCCATGGATTTCTGACTTAACGCGTCAGCCACGACGTTTGTCTTCCCGAGGCAATAAAAAATATCAACATTGTAATCTTTCAACAACTCAAGACATCTCCGCTAACTTAGATATAATTCTTTCTACTTGAATATGTACTTCAAGCTCTTGTGATCGGTAAATATGTCAACATGAACTCCATACAGATAGTGACGCCACATTTTCAAGGCAAATATAACAGCTGCTGGCTCCAAGTCATGAGTGGGATAGTTCTGCTCGTGTTTCCTTAGTTGCCTCGAAGCATAAGCGACAACTTTCCCGTGTTGCATTAGAACACTTCCCAATCCCACGCTAAAGGCATCACAATATATAACGTACCCCTCGGGTACTTCAGGGAGAGTTAGAATTTGTGCCGAGGTCAACCTATCCTTTAACTCTTGGAAGCTCTTTTCACAAATGCCGGTCCACCGAAATTTAGCTGCCTTGTGTGTCAACTTTATTAAGGGAGCAACGATATATGGGGAATTTTCCACAAATCTTCGGTAGTAACCGGCTAAGCCCAAGAAGCTACGTACTTCGATAGGAGTCGTGGGCCTTGGCCAATTCTTTACTGCTTTGATCTTTTGACTATCAACTTGGATACCCTCACTCGTCACTATATGCCCAAGGAAAGCAACCAAGTTCAGCCAAAACTCGTTTTTAAAAAACTTAGTGTACAACTTGTGATTTCGGAGTATGCGTAAAACCATTCGTAAATGCTCTGCCTATGATCGAGAATACACCAAAATATCGTCTATGAACACGATCATGAAGATATACAAAAATGGCTTG